TGAGCTAAAATCACTGATTTTCTCTATGGACTTTGGTACGAGCTTTGGCTTGGTAGAGTGAGTGGTTTAAATCTTCAGTTTTCTGTCAGAGAAGTCGGTCTGACATTTAGACACGGCAGCAATTTTTGTAACCCACCTATTTGAATTCTCAAATAACCTTTGCTTAATTATCTTTTTAAATGTCATTTGTTGCCATAGTAATCGCTGCCGTTCATGCACCAAAAGCTAACTGTACGGAGAAATTAAAAATGTATCTACATGAAGTGTCGCTTTTCACTCTGTCAGAGAGAAAACAACACTCCGATGAATTTAAATCTTTGTAAATGAATCAGTAAGAACAGTAGAGGAAATGTGTTGAATTATTGATGGGGTTTGTACTGTACATATTTGTTATTTTTCTAATCAAACCAACAAACAACCGTTAATTGGACTCTGATCGTCCAGGAGCCTGAACCAAATATTTGAGTCAACAGCTGCAGTTGGAGATTTCTTTTTTTTATGTCAGTCACTTATTTGAAGACCTGACCTAAACAGAAGACTGAGGCTCAGAGGAAACACAGAGGGAAGAGAACAAGAGCTGGAAAACCACGGTCAGGAAAACACACCCCTCTGTGGGAACAATGGGATCAGCTGCAACAACTGCATCACTGTAGAACATGAAACACAATAAAAATCACTGAGTGACTGTCGTCTCCTGTGTGTGACAACTGTTTACAGCGTCATCACACTCTGGGATGAGATGATTGTTACAGTGAAGTGAAGGTTGAAAATAAAAACCCAGTCTTTTATAGTTCAACATATGTGACAACAATCACTCTTCAGTCTCCTTTCTGTCAGTGTCACATCAATAAGCACACAGGCAGGACTCTGATAAGGAACCACTGACCTTCCAGTTGAAGGACAATCTGCTCTGTCCACTGAACCACAGCATGAAACCTAACTGGCTGCTGACCTCATGTGATGATTTAACACTTACTCTAAGTCATATACAATCGCTGCTGCTCTGATGCTGTAATAGCTGTGAGAGTGATTATGACTGGGCAGCCTGTAGTATATCAGCTAAAGCCATGCTGTTCAATCAGTGGCTCGTGGCCCTAGGTATGAGAGAAACCTGGAGAGGGAGAGAATCCCACTGGGCAAGGAGAGACAACTTTCTACTGGAGAATTGACCATGAATACAACATTCTCTGTAGCCTGGCAATGTTTAACCCACAATGCATCACTTCTGTGTCTTCAATATATATAGATGCATGTTCCTCTCACCATCATCAATTTATCAATGGAAGGTATCAATAAAAATCATATGCAGTCGAGGAGCCACAGAAAACATCTGGACCTAAGGTCATGGTTGAATAGAACCTCAGGTTGGAGCTTGTGATCAGAGGCTTTTCAGCTTGAATCCTGCTCAACCTCATAGAAAACTCCCTCAGGTGTAGGTGTGAAGTGCAGCCCATCCCGCCTGGTTCAGAAAAGGGTTAATTCCAATTTAGTTTCTCACGTACTTACAACAACAAGAAGCTTCTTATTTGTAAAGGTAGTTTGTATCCAGGGGAGTTTCCAAAGTCCAGGCATAGTTGCCACATAGTCTAGGCTGTAGTGACCTCTGACCTTGGTTCTACACTGAGGGTCAACAGGACCCATGCTGTCCATGATGCTCTGTCCAGTTTGACCTGGCATTCACATGACTGCAGAGGTCATAAGGATGAGTGTTCAAACAGGATGACCTTTGACTGAGTGGAAAGTCTGGACTCTCTGAACGTTCCGATCCGTGAGTAAATGTCCACTTCTGAACACGCTCCCCACGACAGGTGTGGGCTGGGTGGAGTGGCCTGGATCACAGGCAGGGGGAGCTGCAGAGTTGGGACAGGAGGCGTAGGAGGGAGAGCAGGGGGAGGGCGGACTAGGGGTCTGGGCAGCGGGGGTGGAGGTGGACTGGGTTCCACTGGTGGCGGAGGCAGCAGTGTAGGTGGAAGTGGTAGCGGTGTGAAGTCCACAGGTGTCAGTGATGTCACCGTTGGGATGGGGACGGCAGATTGTGGAATGGTTCCGTTCTTCAGAGGAGGGTCAGGACTGGGGTCTGAGTGTTGGAGTGTGTACGTGGCTGCGCGGTAAAAGCCTTGATACTCCAGGGCATGTCTGGCACGAGTCAGCTGGAGTCTGAGGGCAGAGACATGGAAGAATGAAACAGTGGGTTTGTGTCGCCCTGGTGGTTTTAATGTGAACAGCACAGAAGTGAACTAGGCGACAAGAAAGATGTCCATGGACTCAGGGTTTTTAATTTAAAGGTGTTTCATTGACCATGCAGAGAACCACAAAGACTTCATCCAGAACTGAGACTAAATTAAATGGAATCATTCCTCAGATAACAAAAACTTAGCTGAAAAATATAGCTGAAATGAACTAAACCATCACAAGTTGATGTGAACGGATTAAAAATGACTACAATTAGCAAAATATATATTTACAATTGGTAAAAACCACACATCAGAAAAGGCTACATTAAGGCTAAAATAACCTAATAGAAACCAATGGTTAGCTAACAGCTAGTCAAATGATAGCTGCATTAGCTAAAATGACTCCAAAGTATTGGTCATCCCAGAGTTTGGAGTCACAGTTTTAGTCTTGTTGTTGGATCAAATATCCCAGCACACACCTGTGTCTGAGCTGCAGGAGTCTGTAGAGCAGGACCAGGATGAGAGCAGCAGCCAGGGTCAGCAGGAGTGCGACCAGTCTCAGATCCAGGTTCCAGCAGGGTTTTCCTCCAGGACCAGGTGAAGAGCAGCTGCTGGTAGACAGTGGAGTCTCTGGCTGAGGGTTCCTCTCCATGGCCGGACGCGGAGCAGTTGGACGGAGTCCACAGGGATAAAGACAGGACGGGACTGGAATCTGAGGAGGGTCCGCACCATGTGACCATAATCTTTATTAACAATGAAGAAAAGATAATAATAACCTGCGTCTGTTTTAATTCATCAGCGTATTGTAATACAGTAGATACCGGTTTCACCACCAGGGGGAGGTAATAGAAATACGTGTGCAACATAATTCTGCTGAAATATTTAAATTTACTCTCAAAGAGTTCTACATTTACACTTGGTGCTGTATATTGTTGTGAATATGTTTGAATTTTTTGTTTTGTTTTAATTAAAGAAAACATTTTTTCCCACATATTTCTTATATTCAGTATTTACCTCTGACTTTAAAATCTATAAATTCTTGCAGGAGCAGCTGCAACACCAACGATTTCCCACTGTGGACCCACACGTTAAATATAACATCAAGTACTGACTTACGTTTCATTCTCACTGAAGTCCAATAAGAACATTAAGAAAAACAATACAACTGTGCTGGAAACTTAAAAAAAAATTAACTTACATCATCGGAACATGATCAAATCCATGTGGACAAAAAGCAGGGAGCTCATGTTAAGACCCGTGAAGCCTTCTAAGACCAGGACCAGTATCTGAGCCCACACCGATGTGAGGAAACCAGTGAAAAGTTCAGGAAGTAAGGAGTTTCCTCAACACTCACAATCCAGGCACAGGATTGGAGAAGAACTTCCTTTCACCATGGAAACAGGAAACAGGTCAGGAATGTGTTCTAAAATGTCTAAAGATATTTTTATAAGTCATCTTGTCAGAGGAAAATCTCAGTAAAGTTTTCGATAGGGTGATTCATCTAAATAATAACTGATAATTTCTGGGTGGAATTAATAAAAACAAAAGAGGAGTCTCATAAACAACAATCGGGGAAAAACCCAGTAATGATTCATGACTCAATGTCTGAGTCAGTTTGGTTCATTCAAGAGTCCGTGACGAACCTAATGTTATTTGACACCTCTTAAAAGAAACATATTTAAATATATTTCATCTGTACAACAACACCTACAGATAAATAGATGGAGCTGAGTTTCCGGCTGCATGGTCCACAGCAGCTCCATCTTTGTGTCCCCATGTGTCAGGTGATGGTTGGTGAGAAGGTTGGTATCTGATGACATAGGTTTCCAGGTACAAAGAAATGACATGACGGTGCAAAACCCAGGCTCATCTCACATTTATCTGTCTAATAAGTTCTGTGTCCAGGTCAGAACCAGAGGGAGATTCTCTTTTTCCATCCTCAATATCCCTGCAGTCACTGTCAGCATCCTGTGACAATAACAGAGGCTAATATTAAAAGATCTGTTATCAGAGGCAGCAGTGAGTTTCACAGGGAGGAGATCTATTCACACAACGGTTCATCAGAGAAACTTCCATCTTACATTTGGTGTTCTTTGTTATTACTCTCCCGTCTTATTGTTGTTGGATCAGTCAGAAAAGTTTAGAAGTCAAGAAGTGTCACCAGGAAAACAGCTGCATTTGGTATTGTGACAGTACTGATGGATTATCAACGCTGGGAGGATTGTCAGCGGCCCCTACTGCTGTGAACCAGCATGACTCACAGAGAGAGAGCGGTTGTTGAACCACTGCTTCCTTTGGTCTGTAGGCTTAAATCACTGATTTTCTCTATGGACTTTGGTCTGAGCTAAAATCACTGATTTATTTTCTC